CTTGGGCCTAATTAACTGTGGCGGACGTCTGACCGTGACTGTATGTAATTGCACAAGGCTCTGTACGCAGGCGCCAATTCGGCATAGCAGTTGACTGAATTCCCATCCGTGGACTAGGCTTCAATCAATTCCCTGTTCGTCTTGTTTCCGGTGTGAGCGAGTACCTTGACGGTCGCGAAGTTGAACTTATGGCCTGTTTCATAGGTGTGAGCTGCAACTTGTGGTACTTCGTCGCCTCGTCGTAAGGATAATTCGTGTTCATGTATGCGCGATCCGAGCATGCGTTCAGTTTTGACTTTGTAGCTACAAGGACAGCTTAGGCGTGGGACGCGATACACTACCCCAGATTGTCCATTCGGCGTAAGCCGGTCTTTTATTTTCGTCACCTTGCGGCGGCTGGTAGGATCATTCCCATGTTTTTAAAGCTAACAAAAGTTTATGATGCATTTGAACAAGTATTGTAGTGCGAGTAGCCGAAAAGTAACCGCATGTCAATGTAAAATTGAACTAAACTAAAACAAAACTTAACTTGAATTTAAATTTAACAAACCTTAACTAAAAGTTAACTTAACTAAGCGCAAAGAAAACTAAAACCGGTAAAACAAAACAAAATAATAAACTTGTAACCAAACTATGCTAAACCAAACTAAACTGACCAAAGTAAAAACGGAAGGTATTGCTGCCAAAGACAAGGTAGACCGAAATGAACGTTTTAGGCTTCTTAGCTGTTGTCCGCCAGCCATACCCATCCCAAATTGGTGTATCACCCGAGACTTCAACTCTCGACCGTTTCGCTCAGAGTCTAACGTTCTAACCATTGAGCAACGAGCTACGACGAAACTCTTTTGGGACAAAATAATTGGCTTATGTAAATTATATATAATAGAAAGAGCCGACATTTTTGAAAAATAAAAAATATTGGGTAAACTGTAGATACTGGCCCCTCAGTTCGTCGTCAGACTGAGGGCGGAATAAAAAATTAATCACGTGGTTGTCTGAGATCTGCGTAAATACACGTTAATTGCATTTTTGTTCCCCCTCTGTGATTGGCTATGCTCGATTCATTTTGCCCTTTAGGATTTTGCATGTGGCCTCTTAATCGATATGCCAGTTGATGCATGTTACACCTGAATCCGTTACTTCTTACGATACACGGCTTCCTCTTATAGGGCAGACGACAATAGTCTGAGCGTTGCCCCCGCCAAATGTACGCTTGGTAACTAGTGTATTTATGGCCACCTGCTAAGCATGATCCTGTCTCTTTACCGACAAATGATGTTCGTTTAAACGACGTGAGTCGGATTTCCCCTTTTAGTTAAATATAAGTATATGGTTCCACAACTTGCTCCTAAAAGGGAAAAGGCATTTTAAACACAGCCTTTCTTAGACAAATTGCAGGTGCCAGCCTAAATGTCTGCCCGGAGACAATTTCCGCGGAAAATATCCTTCCCTTACCCAAC